AATCCAATAAGCAGTGACAGTGATTGAATCTTTTATAGGCGCTTTATTCAGATGGCCCGCTATCCGAGAAGATGGCGGGTTCATACCCTAACAAACCATCTTCCTCTTTCTTTCCCAGCCAGATCTTTTATAAGGGGGTTGGGGGAGGGCAAACAGGGTGTCAGCGAAAGCCTTTGAAATTCAACAGTTGTCTCCAAGGGGGGAAGGGTGGTGGCTTGCTTCTTCCTGGTACAGATGTCTCCAGGAGGTCAGCTGCTTATTCTCAGGCGCCAGGATGGGCCTTATCTGTAGTTACTGAAACAAAACTTAACATACACATTACTTGCTAGATTTATGACTATTTACCTTAAGCTAAATTTTCCCAAGTCTTAAGCCCCTATCAGTATGTCCCTATTATACTGAGATTTTATGTGGAAGCTTCAAAAATTTTTAAAGTAGACTTAATGTTTTTTAAGTTTTAAGATTTAAGTTTGCAAAAGAAAAAAAACGGAGAGGATAGTCCAGAGAGTTTTTATATACTACCCACCGAGTTTCCCATTATTAATGTCTTACCTTAATACGGATGGTTTGAAAGGAAGACCACAAAGATAAAATGTCCTTTATATCATCTATCAAGGGCATGTATTATCAATGTGATACGTCATTGTTGATGTTGACCTTGATCACCTGGGTTGGGGTAGTGTTTGTCAGGTTTCTCCTCTGTAAAGTTACACTTCTTACCCATGGCCTGCTGTAGTCTCTGGAAGGTAGTCAGTCCGATGGCTAGCCCACAGTCCCGGAGTGGAGAGGTGAGCTCCACCTCTTCATGGACAGAGAGTCTGCATAAATAATTTGGAATTCTTCTGCAAAGGAGATTTGTCTCTTTCTCGCCAGTTATTCACTCAGTCAGTGATTTGAATTCATGAATTGTTTTTTACTTTCTTTTTAGAGAGAGGGGAGGGGAAGGAGAAAGAGAGGAAGAGAAACATCATGTGTAGTTGCCTCTCACATGGCCCCCACTAGGGACCTGGCCCACAACCCAGGCATGTGCCCTGACTGGGAATCGAACTAGCAGCCCTTTGGTTTGCAGCCTGCACTCAATCCACTGAGCTACATACACCAGCCAGGGCTCATAAATATTTTTTTATGCTTTGAGTTATAATCTGATATTACTTTATGTATATTATTGCTCAAATTAATACCTATGTGTGTATCAATTAGTTTATCCACTAGGATTAAATTATCCACTGGGTGCCAAATTTTCTGGTGTGTGGCATAAACAGGAACATGATTTTTCATTATGATACTTACATTATTTTCATTTGTTTTACTTGAATTCTGTTAAGAATTTGCTATACAGAAAGATCACCCAAATCAACAGACGGTTTGTTTCAGAAATAAAAGTGTTGGCCCTGGCTGGCATAGCTCAGTGGATTGAGTGCGGGCTGGGAACCAAAGTGTCCCAGGTTCGATTCCCAGCCAGGGTACATTCCTGGGTTGCAGGCCAGAACCCCCAGCAACCACACATTGATGTTTCTCTCTCTCTCTCTCTCTCTATCTCCCTTCCTTCCCTCTCTAAAAATAAAAAGAATAAAATCTTTAAAAAAAAAAGAAATAAAAGTGTGCATGGCTCTGCATGGAAGAGTACATATCATTGTTTTTTTTTATATTAAAAAAACTATTTTCAGAGCATTTTAGTTTCACAGAAAAATTGAGTGGAAAATACGGAGGTCTTATCTATTTCCTGTCATATCATAGATTTTTAAGAATAGTTCTGTTAGAATTAAAAAGCGAGAAAACAAACCATGTTAAACTAAGTGTGAGGAAAGGCTCATTATAATTTTACCACTCTTTAATTCTTTATTATAATTTTAAAACACACGTTTGCATTTTAATTGCTTGAAAATGTTGATGTGTAGCATTCCAGTATGTTTCATCCATTTCGAAGATACCATAAATCAGACAGGGCCGTGAAACCACAGTGTCGTTCAGAATTTTGTTTTAATGTTAGAGTACAACGAGTTTCCTAGTTTGACATTAATCCTGAGGGCTTATTGAATAACCAGCATTAATCTTTTAAAAAGCAATCTCGTGTTGGGCGACATATATGCCTTGGCTGTGCCCAACACGAGAGATCTAGGAGCGTATTTACAATATTAAACGAAATGCCATTTTGCAAATTAAAAAATTCAAATATCCTTTTATAAATTAATGCAATATATCTTCTTTTGGTGCACAGTAGATTTCACCGAGGTAAATACCTTTCAGTGACTTTGGCTTTGCATTAGAAATAGCCAGTTCTTAGCAGACTGGCCTAAGGGCAAGTAAAACAAGACAAAGACACAGTTTTTGCCAGGAGACTCTTCCAGCCCGAGGCTGAGAGTATCTGATATCTGCTCCTGGTTGACTCATGCACCAATTCAATAGCCTTGGGCTGGGTATGCAATCTTTATAGTAATTACTTATAAAATAGAAAAACGTCACTTAATATTTCCAACATGTGTAAGTATGGCAATCGGTTTGACTGACCTGAGCTACTCACCCAGGCAGGCATCTTCAGGCCCTGGGTCGCTTCTTTCTTCTCGTGGCCTGAAAAATGGGGGTGCCTCGGGCGTTCTTGGTGACAGCTTCAGTTGATTGCCAGTCCTGAGAAACGGTGAGGAGCCCACCTGGGGAGAGTGGGTGGGCTTTGGAGGAGATCGTGTTTATTTTCTGTTCTCCATCTTATCTAAGTTGTAGGTGTTTTGTTTTCTTGCTTTCGATATTTTATAGTATTCCACGTAAAAGGAAAAGACAAATGGGACACCACTTGCATTATTCTGTATTTCCTTAGAATTTTTATCTTAATGTTTCTCTCTGGGTCCCTTGGTCTTCATGTCCTCGGGGTGGGTGTCCTCAGACACATTTCTCGGCAGGCACTTCTCACCTGGGAAGTGGGGTTTGTATTATACGAGGCTCATCACACAGCCGTTGTGGAGCTGAGATGCAGTGATGCGCGTGGAGCATCCGCCGCCGTCCCCACCACACGGCACCCTGCAGTCCCCGGGGCACTGTGTCTCCTGATGCTCTGTAACTCACCCATGCTACATGCCTCATCGGCTGTCTTAGCGATTTAAGGAACAATGACAAGATGAGAGGTTCTTCGTCCCAGTGATGTGCTTAGATTTTTATCTAAGTATTATTTCTAAAGTAAGTACTTAAATATCATGAGACATCTTGTATGTGTCAGCTAAACACAGACTAAAGTTTAAAATGCTTTTATGGGAAGAGAGCTTTAAAGAACCCCGTTATATGAAGTAGCTGAAAAGGTTCTGTCTTCTCCATCTTAGGGCCTTTCTCGCTTTTTGTTGCATTTCAGAAAATTTCGTGTAGCATCTTATGAAAAAAAAAAAAAACCATTCTTACCTGTGCGAGTGAGTGAACAGTTTGTATTCTCGGCTTGTGTGGAGTCTCTGGTTGAAATCTGATCTCGTGGGTCCTGCCTGAAGGTTGGCAGTGCCCTGCTCAGCGGTCACCCTGCCCTCATCCTGCCACTCACTAGTCCATTCTCCACTGAAGTAAAACGTTTGTCCGGAAGACAAACTCGATCATGCCATTCGTGTTTCAGATTCCTTTGGGCCTCTGTTGTGTACAAAATGGTATCCAAACTCTCATACTCTAAAACACACTTCTCAGTCTCATTTCCTTCTGGACTCGCTCTCCTGCTTGCCTCACGCTCCAGCCACAGTGGACGTCTGCCTCTTCTGCAAACGCACTTCGTCCTTTCTTCATTCTCTCTGTGCACAGGAGGTCCCCTCGTTTTAAAGTGCCTTTTGCCTGACATCCATCCATCCATCCACCCCCTCACCCACCCTCCCAACCAGGTCATGTTTGCTAAACCTGGGTCAGAGACTAGGAGTAGAATGTTAAACAAGGCGGACACGACTGTCCTGACACCTTGGAATTTCATTCATTCCCCACATGGCATACTCCTGCTCATCCATTCAGACTCTGCTTTGGGGTTTGTCCCTGTGCACCCAAGCAGGTTTGTTCACTCTGCTGGCCCAGCGCTTTCCTTCATTTCTGTTACAGCTTTTAACCTCTTCATTCATGAAGATACTTATTGCCTACTGTGTGCAGAATCTATGCAAAAAGTTAGGCATACACTAGTGAACAAGACAAATAAAAATGTAGCTCACAGAATGCATGTTATATTGTAGTTGTTCAACTTTCACATGTAGTTGTTAACCCTCACATGAATGGGACTTCTTATAGGACTTCATGTGATACCTTTGTATCTGCAGTACCAGCAATGCTCACAATAGTTTGCATGATACACATTTTCTTTACAAATACAGCAAAAGTTGAAGTAGTTTATATAATTTAATTGAATTAAACTCCATGTATGTGTGTGTGTGTGTGATTACATATATAAACATATACTACACATGTGCATATATAGGTTTTCTTTAGGAAGTAGACAAATGTTAAATTTAATTTTTTTTTATTTCTTAAAAGATTTTATTTATTTATTTTTATTTGTTTATTTTTGTTCAAGTACAGTTGTCTCCATTTTCTCTCCACCCCACCCATCCCCACCCCCCACCCTCAATCCTTTCCTGCTTTGGCTTTGTGCATGTGCTAGCTCTACAAATAGATTAAAGTGTCTAAGGAGGAGGGGTGGGCAAGTACTCAGAGTGATTCTGCTCCAATGGTTGCCTAGACAATGTCAACTGCAATCGAATGGCTGCTCTTCTGTGATTAACTTTAAACTCAGGGATTCCTATTCATTAAAAGATTTTACCTAAAATGCGTAGGGAGTACTTTAACCATGAGGGGTGAGGTGGCAAAGAACTGGGCTGCTGAGGACACAGGACTCCACATTCGAAAGGCGCCAGCTTCCCTGGGTTGATTATTTCATCATTCAAACACCCGATTGACTTCTCCGACTCCTCCTAGCCCATCCTTTCTTGACACCGTCTCTGTGATAAGGACACTGTGATGCGCACAGAATGACATGAGGCTGTTTTCTTCGCTTGCAGTTGGCGAGTTTGTGAGTGACGCCCTCCTCGTTCCCGACAAGTGCAAATTCCTGCACCAGGAGAGGATGGACATCTGCGAAACCCACCTTCACTGGCACACCGTCGCCAAAGAGGTACCAGTCCGTGCCTTCTTTCTCTTTTAAAGCAACGACATTTCAGGGGGTATTTCAAGGTGACTGCTGTGTTGATGAATAAGTTCTTTTTTTGGTATTATAAAATAAGTCCTATCCGTGAGTATTTGTAAAGAGTCAAAAACAGGGCCTGTTTAGATTTATTATGTATCCATGCCATATTTTATAAATTAAAAACTCTACTCATATATTCTCTAGAGTGCAAAATGCACCTTTTCTTCACATTGGTTTTGTTTACCTGTTGTTTCCTTTGTCACATACAAAGTTGTCATGATTTAACCGTGTTTTCTATTACTTAACTGGGGTGTATGGCAGTAGAAACAGGAAGTAGCTTGTCCAGTACCAACATGAAACCCAGTGAGCATTCAGGTCCTAAGTTAAGCATCCCAGGTCTGTGTTCACCGTGCCCAGTCACCACCTTCATTTTCCCAGAGCCGGTGAGTGCGGGGCATCAGCTTAGCCTTGGCTAACTCCTGCGTATGGCAAAACTGATTAAAGACATGCGACCGTTAGCATAAATGTCATTTTTCGATCTTATACCCTTCAAAATGTCTTTTCCTTTGGATACATTATGAAGTTTTTCTAATAAATGTATGCAAGTACGTTGGGTGTGTGTATGTGTGTGTGTGTGTGTGTGTGTGTGGTCTTATCAGCCCCCTAGAATGAGGCTCCTTAATCCAGCACAGTGGGGCTGAAATGGGGGCAGTTTGGCCCCCGTCCCTCCTCAGGACCGCGTGCCGGTGGAGGCATCTTTGGCTGTCGCAGCAGGAAGGAGCACTACTGCTGCTGCAGCTGGTGGTGCTCAGAGGCCAGAGTCTGCCGAACACTCACCCGTGACCAGGACAGCGTCTTCTCCCTCTTCCACTCCCCGCCTCCCCCAAAATTGTCTGGTCCCAAGTTTCGGTGATCCTGAGCTTGATAAACCCTGACCTCCCTCCGTTTAGCCATTGGGTCATACATACATAGCCTTAAGGCTGTTCAGCGAAAAACACCACTTAGGATTGAGCATTAATTTTGTCTTTAATAAAATCATGTGTTCTCATTTACTACAGGACAAAATTTTCTCTGTACAAAAATATGTTTGGGGGCTTGTTGATCTTCAGAAAACAAACCAGACAATTTTAAAGCCCTGCTATCCATCTGATAACCTCGTTTTTCATTTCTCCTTGAATTTTCACAAACTTTTTTGTTGCTATGAAATGAAAATTACCTAATTCCCATGAGGTCAAAATGCACTCTGATATTTTCATTATTTGCCTACCTACGCATGTTGAAATATTAGTCTTTCCTCTGTTATCAGTGGATGCCTTCAAAGCTTTGTGTTACTCTGGATTTGTGCAAATTTAGCAAATGCCAGAAAAGCAAAAAGACCCCGAAAGAGAAATGTCTCAGTGGCTGTATTTTCTGGCTTATAGCAAAGAGTTAATTTTTTCTCTTCCCAAGATTGTTATTCTGGACATGAGCCAAGAGTTAGAATTTCTACACTAAGATTTAAGTGAGTGGAACTTCCATCTGTAAGAAGTTGAAGTGAGTTGGGGGTGTATGGGGAGTACCCCTTCTTCCTGATGCACCCAGGAAGCCAGAAAGCATTGATTTCCTGGTATCTCTTCACCGGGATAGGCCTCTTTTGTACCTTATTTCCCTATTGGTTTCCACTTGTATTGTGGGGTTTTTTTTTCTATTTCTATAGTATAACAAGTCATCCTTATTCAGTAAGTAATCAAGTTCAAATTATGGGTACCAGAGTAGCCTGAGCTAAAGAAATGATCATACAAGGGAGATCCACTCAAAAAGCAAATGATGCATTTCATTGTTTCAGTAACAAAATTGGTTCCTGTGGATGTGTGTGCTGATTATTATTATATTTGGGTTTTCTCACAAAGAAAAACACCTCCCCTCCCGCTCTCACCGTTTCCTGCTTGCCTTGTCTAGACCTGTAGTGAGAAGAGCACCAACTTGCATGACTACGGCATGCTGCTGCCCTGTGGCATCGACAAGTTCCGAGGGGTGGAGTTCGTATGTTGCCCGCTGGCCGAGGAAAGTGACAGTGTCGACTCAGCAGACGCCGAGGAGGATGACTCGGATGTCTGGTGGGGTGGAGCCGACACAGACTACGCGGATGGCAGGTAAGGTGGCCTTTGTGTTCAGGATTTCATAGATGCCGGACCACTAGCGTATAGTTCTGTTTCTTGTATCGCTGTATCTTTCTGTTTCTCATTAGGAGAGTCTCTGCCCACTTGCATCAAAGTTTGCTTTTATCGAAAAAAATCTAAGCATGAAGTCCTGTTATGTAGGGTCTAGTGTTTCATATTAATATTATTGATCAAACATCACTGCAGCAATTTTAACCGTTTTAATCTCAAGTGTTGGGATCGACATTTCACTGGTAGTATGTCACCAGTAGTTCCACAGAGAATGAAAATCTGAGTGAGAGACGTGATGGTCTCTTTTGATTTGTAATTTAGAAAGTTTTTTAAAGATTTTATTTATTTATTTTTTAGAGAGGGAAGGGAGGGAGAAAGAGAGAGAGAGAGAGAGAAACATCAATGTGCGGTTGCTGGGGGCCGTGGCCTGCAACCCAGGCATGTGCCCTGACTGGGAATCGAACCTGCGACACTTTGGTTCGCAGCCCACGCTCAATCCACTGAGCTACGCCAGCCAGGGTAGAAATTTTTTAAAATAGTGTTTTGGGATTATTTTATCCATCATTAGCTAAATCCGAATTTTTGTTAAGAAAGGTTTTGTTTTGTGGGGGGTGGGGAGTGGGTTTCTTTTTATGAGGCTTTTTTTTTTTTGCCTTTTATTATCCTTTCCTTTGAATGAAGTCAGAGGCATTTATAAATGTTTCCTAAAGTTCTCTAACTGTCTTTGGTTTCCTGGTTGTTAGGAAATATATTTCCACCTTTTACTCTTTGGGATCATAATCCCATAACTTAATAGATTCTTACTTTAAATTAAAGGCAGATGTCTACATTCAGATCATAACATTATAAAGCCAGACACTCTGGATGAGCACGGCCATCTGGCTCACTCATCAGTTTCATGCCCTGGCATCCTCCAGGGGTGATGGTGATTGCATCGCTTCTCTCTTTCCTTTGGTATCCTCTCAGATGTCCCCTAGTGTCACAGATTTCTAAATAGAAGAGTAAATATGACTTACGAGGATTTGAGTTATTAATGTAAAGTTTTCTGGCTTCTGTATACATGGGCATAGATGCTCTTACATTTTATAGAGCTTTAAAAAAGTTATTTCACAAAAATACAAATATATTTTACAAATGTGTGCACGGAGGAGCCCTAATTGCTGTTTCTCGTCAGTTAATGAGGGCAAGCTCCTCTTCAGTGGCCATTGCCCAACTTTTCCATCACTTTTTTTTTAGTTAAGCTATTTTGTGCTTCTTCTTAGGTTTAGAAAAACGTGTTCAGTGTGGCAGAACATAAAGCTAAACAAGTACATTTTAAAGAATGAGAGAAACAAGGGAAAGTCAACTTCATGCAAGCAGTATTTATCTGTAGTCATAAAAGTTTGAATCTTAAGGAGTACAATTCTTCTCGCAGGGCAGGGAGCGTCAGTGAGAGTCGGGTTTGCCCACGGGACCGTGTCGGAGCTTTTCCCACGGAGTTAACTGGTTGTATTCTGGGCCGTGGCTGGTCCCCTCACTGGTGTTCCATGAGCCAGTTGTAGAAATGTCCATGGGTTCTGGTTTAATTGCCATTGTTTCTAAACATTGGAGTTGCCTAGCTCTTACTGTTTTTGTAGCTTTTTGATATTCTTTCTTGGTCATAGCTAGCTTTAAAAGTCTCGGTGTGACTTGAACGAAGTCCTCGTCCACAGGGCTCTTGCTACCTGAAGCCAGTGAACCAGTCTTACAAAGTGAAATTTTAATTGTTCAGCCATTTTCTCTGTTCGGAGTCGTTGCATATGTGACTGCTTCCTGTTAGACTGAATTGAGCGTATACTTAGTAAACGCACCAAATAATGGCAAGTAAACCAAGAGAGCTCCGTGATTGCTATAAAAATTATGGGAAACTAGCTGTGTGCTTGTAATCTTGAATCAAGTTTGGTGACTCACCACTCATGACCATTCATATATCAGGACTTTTAGAACTACAAGTTCTAAACATGGTTACTCTTGCTTTATCTTGAGTGACACACTTTTACCAGGTCCCTTCTCTCTAATTCAGTACATTTTTAAACATCTTGTAAAACCCACTTTTTATTGGGAGCGGATTTCAGTGTGTCTGATCTTTTCCTCCTGCACCTCTTCCAAGTTACCAACTGTATCGAGAGCATCACTAACATCATCTTATGAAACCCACTCAGAGGCCCCTTCCTTTCCTGCACCCCTTACTTGTCCTGGAAGGAGGCCCAACAGGGCTTCCGGTTCCGGCCTCAAGCCTCCCTTACTGTCACTCAGTGATTGCACTGCTTTTGATATCCATCTCCGGTTATACCACTGTCTGTCCTCTGTGTTGCAGTTACTAGACTATAGGACACTAGTTTATTATTCTTTAACACCATTTTTCTTTCTTTTAATGTGCTATGTTACCTACTACTAGGACAATTACACAATTTATTAGTGAAGCCAGATTTGACACTAGGACCACAGTCATAAGCGAAGGGCCCCAGACAAAGGAGGTCATTACGATGACCTTTCCTGTCTCATATCATCATCCAAGTTGATAGTCCGTTGGCATGCTAGCCAGCTCCTTCCTGGTCGCCTCCATTCATATTGCATTTCTGCCGTCTGCTACACAGTCAGGCCTTGGACTCTGTCATTACTTATAAATATTGTACCTATCGGGTTTCCAGCCCTGACTTTCCTCTCCAACCATAGTCTTCTGATCTTGAACCTAAAACACTCATCAGGTCCACTGAATTTTACCCTTCTCTCATAATCCTCCTCTAATTAAGGCTTTTAGTCCATTACCTCGGCTTTTTAAAGTCATTTCTAACCAGGAGGGGCTCAATAGATAATCATTTTTACGTATTTCTTCAAATATCCTGGACTTGTGGATACCTTCATATTTTCTAAATATATTCTTCTCAATCTTGTTTATATGGGAAAAACTAATTTCTCTCTTTAATCGCTGTTGAGTTTTCTAAGGTTGATGTATCGAGTCATGTAACCCAACCAGTTAAATCCATTTCTTATTCATGTTGTCACGTCAGCTGGTATCCTGTTACTAGATGCGCCTAATGATTCCTATTGGATGACTTACCACCTTCCACCTCGCAGCTGATGCGAGCCCCATTTATTTCCCGTGGTTCCCAGCACGCTCTCCCTCGTGCTCCACAGATGACCCATTTGCAGTCCATCCATCGTGAATTTGCACCAGGGCGCCTGGCGTTTGGTAGTTGCTCGGCACTTGTTTGCTGAGCAAAATAACCAGCTTTGTTCTCGACTGCAACATCTCTCAGGACCTTCTTCTGTCCCTTGTTTTCCATCTTTCCTTTTGTGATGATTTATATCTGAACTCTGGGTCACCTCCTTTACTTTCTTGCATACTTTTACAGATTTAAGACTATTTTTAGTACAGTTTTAGGTTCACAGCAAAACTGAGCAGAAGGTACAGAGATTTCCTTAATCTGTCCTGCCTCCACACATGCGTACCTCCCCCGGAATCAACTTCCCCCAGCTCAGTGATGCCTTTGTTAACAATTGATGAGCCTACACCATAATCATCCAAAGTCCACAGTGTTTACATTATGGTTCACTCTTGCTGTTGTGCATTCTGTGGGTTTGGACAAATATATAATGACATGTATCCATCATTAGAGTGTCAAACAGTATTATCACTAAAAGTCCTCTGTATTCCACCTATTTATCCCTCCTACCTTCTCGCCCCTGTCAACTACTGATATTTTTATTATCTTCCTAGTTTTACCTTTTCCTGAATATCACATAGTTGGGATCATACAGTTTTGAGTTTTTTCAGATTGGGTTCTTTCACGTAGTAATACGTGTTGAAGTTTCTTCCACATCTTTCCATTGCTTGCATGGGCCACAGTTTATGTATTTATCCACCCACTGAAGGACATCTTCGTTGCTTCCAAGTTTTGGTGATTATGAATAAAGCTGCTATAAACATCTGTGTGCAGGCGTGTGCTACCTTCTGAACTGCCACTGCCTGCGTTCAGATTATCCTCTGACTCCCACTAGGCTAATTCTTTGGTTACTCCTGATCACACTGGTGCTTCACTTTCTTCTGTTGCCCTTGTTACCCTTGTACTTTTTTGTATTCTTACAGGACTCATTCATACCTTGACTTATATTCCCATAACTTGGAATTCATTCTGCCGGCCTACAAGCCTTTGTTTATTTTCTTCCAAAATAATTCCCCAGGACTTAATAATGTTCCTATTATATGTTTCCGCTCCTATTAACACTTGGTAGGAGATATTTGATGGTCCCTGAGTCTTGTGACAAAATCCAGGTCTCTCCATCAGGGCACTCTGAATTCTCATTACTGGGCCCTAACCTGCATTCTCAGCCTTTCATATGTACCTCACCTTCTCTGCTGACACCCCAAACCAGTGGCCTTTTCTTTCTCTGGGTTCTTGTGCCTACCTTTCTGCCCCTTCTGAAATGTTTTTTTTTCCTTTTTATTAAAAGGTGTTAATGTACCACAAAGATATTTGTCAATTTTAAACTGCTACATCTTATCACGACCTGTAAAATAATACATATTTTTTTAGTGTTCATCCAAACAGATACATTATTTTCTGACATACCCCTTGAAACACTTTGCCGCCTTAGGGTGCCCTTGCTCTTCCTTTGTGATCTTCTTAAAATACTTGTTTATACTGTGGCATCTCTTCTAATTATTTGTGATCATATCTTTTTTATATGCTGGAATCCAAACTATAATGTATGTACTGGGTATGCCTTACATTGGCTTTCTAGAATTATTAGCCACAATGAATTGTTTGCCCTTACATTTTTTCATAGCTTTTGGAAAGGACTCTGTGGCCCATAAATGGATGTTATAGAACCTCTTGTATTTTAGCTCAGATCTGTCTAGTAGAAATATCACGTAAGCCACGTATGAACTTTAACATTTTCAAATAGGGTACATTTTAAACCATGAAAAGGAACTGGTGAATTTAATTTTAATAATGTAT